GATTCTTTATTTTATTAGAGAATTAATTTTCTTTCTTCATCAAAAAAAAGAAGAAGAAGAAGAAGAAGAATAAAAAAAAACGAGAATAATGTACAAATTAGTGATAGCGAATTGTATCAAAGATCATTGAATGTGTATGTGATGCGTTGTTGTATGGCAACAAACAAAAAAAAAATTAAGACCATGACATTATTCAGATTCATTTGAGCATAAAAATGATTGAATTTTTCTCTCTCTCTCTCACATCAATGACAATGCTTATGGGTCGATTCTTGTTGCTGTTGTTGTTGTTGTTGTTGTAGATGTTTCTAATTATCGATAAATCGAACACACACACACACACACACACACACTGCATAGTTTGATAACCAGAATCAATCAGTCAATTGCAGAAACAGAGATGATAAAATTCTTGTTAGTTGTGAAACCTATTTAAAACCAAAGAAAAAGACTAGAATATACAAAAATAGTACAACAAACACACACACACACCAACACACGAACACACAAACTTTAATCACTTAAACAGTCGATTTTTTTTTTGTTGTGTTCCTGCGTTTTAATTAAAAAAATGATTTCAATGATGACGATGATGACGCTGATGATGATGATGATGATGATGAAATATAAAATAAACAACGGACAATGCAAACAAATGAATCAACGAATAGTTTTCAATACACACACACACACGCACACTTTTGGACAAGAGAATGATGGATCGATTTTGAATGTCAATTTTGGGAATAAATTATCACAAAGTGTGCGTGTACACACAAAAAAAAATATGAAAACGGAAACAAACGACGAATAAAAAAAAATTTAAAACAGATGATTTTATTGCATTGATTGAACTACACACACACACACAAACATATTTATTTCACCGGAATCAAATTGATTTACTTTTTTTTTTTGATTCCATTAAGCAGGTATTATATACAGGTACAATATCGATATAAATAAATGGGAAAAAATGACGCAATTACGATGATGAAAATAGAAGAAAATAAAAGTACTAAATCTAAATCGAAAATGAAATATAAGCCATCAAGTCCACTATTGATTATTGAATATGTGTGCATATATTGGTAGTAATGTAGATGGCCATTGTTTTGTTGATATTAAAGTAAATATTAAAAAAAAACATGAAGTTCATGTGTGTGTGTGTGTGTGTGTTTTACTTTTTCAAATCTTTTTCGTTGTTGTTGTTGTTGTTGATTCTTATACCCACACACACACACACACACTGGGGAACCACACAATAATATTCTGGATCATTACATTTTTGATGATGATTCAATTCAATCGTCATCATCGTCGTCGTTTTCTTTTTTTTCTGTTATATTCTGATTCTACTCTCTATTCTTCTATTCTTTTTCTTTTCCATTTTTGATTCTTCGTTTCTTTTTCTTTGTTTTTTTTTCTTGTCTACATTTACATTCAGTATATATATATAAATGAATAAATGAGTGCAACACACACACACACATACACATACGGAAACGTAGACTTTTTTTAATATTATTTTGGACCGATAAAATCTATCTAGGTTAAGCTAGACTATACTGGAGTATTAGAAAACTAGTGACTAACTAACCTATCTGACAATTGACTAAAATGATGATGATGATGATGATGGCAATGACGTATACGTTTTTTTATATGCAGGTAATAATAACAGCTTTGAATAAGAACAACAACAACAACAACAACAATAAAAATTTGAACCAGAAAAAACCTGAATAGAACACACACACACACACAGAGAGAGAGAGAGAGAGTTTGGAACAATTCAAGAAAACAAGAAAATGAAAAAGAAGAAGACGAACTTTTGTATCTGTGTTCCAATTGTGGATCCAAATGGCTGTCGTACAATACACACACATACAACACAGATGAATAACAAACGAAATGATTCATCAGAATCGAATGAAAATGAAAATGAAAACGAAAAATAAAAACTACAAACTGAGACCAAACCAAAGCAAACTGAAAAAAAATGATTGACTAAAACTCGATACAAACCTCGATTCTATGACGATAGCGGTAGCAACAATAGCAGAATCGGTGAATCAAAAAAAAAATTGCTGCAACAACAACAACAACAAAAACGAATGAACAACATGAACTCAATGAACCAACAAACTAACTAACAAACAAACAAACAGGAAAAGAAAATCTGGAAGTAGAATTTCAAAGAAATGATTGGATTTGTGACAAGAATATTGTTGTTGTTGTCGCTGTTTTGCTTTGTAGAGATATTTATAAAAAAAAAAAATGCCGAATAAACTGATGAATAATAAATAATTCTTGATCAGATGATTTTTTTTTAATTCTAGAATCTAGATGATGGATTCAAATCAAATGACGATAAATCGATTGGATCACATACGACATATACTGTTGTTGTGTGTGTGTGTGTGTGTGTGCTTGTTAGTGTCTTATTATGAACGAGAAAAAAAGTAGATTAAAATGAGATAAAAAAAATCCGAATAATGAAAAAATAAAGAATCCTAGAATTCTAATTCAAAATGTGTATGATGATTCAAAAACATAGAACATCTCGGATAATGATGATGATGATGATAATCTATAAAAGACACGTTCATAGGAAGAAGACAGGAAGATAAAAAAAAATACTCAAATCACGTACGTGATTAATTCAATAATATACAAATGAAGAAGAAGAAAAAAACAACAACGAAATGTGAATTTGAAATTAATGAGCATGCGTCTTGTCATTTTACAATAGAATTATGTGATGTTCCAAGTGACAACCATTATATACACGTTTTTTCGATGGAAAATAGATAAACAACAACAACAACAACAACAACAACAACAACAAGAGAAAAAAACAAATCAAATTCAATTCACAGCAATTTGTAATGGGATTTTTTTTTTGTTGTGTTTATTATGATCGTCATTTTAAATTTGAAAAAAAATTCAACAAAAATTGCCCAGGAAACAATGTTTCCAATAAAATTTTTTTTTTCATCTCTTCCTTGTATATTCTCTGTGTGTGTGTGTAAATTGAGAATTTATTCATTTTTTGCTCGAAAAAAAAAAATCACCCAAATCGATAATAATAAAATTCAAAATTGCTCAACATAAAAAGGTCACTGTTTTTCGTTTTCGTTTTTTTTGTTGTTGCCAAAATTTTCCATGAAATGGACCAGATATTAAAAGTCAAAAAAAAAAAATCCGTAGGAAATAATTAAAATCATATTGAAAGCCAGAAGAAAATTCTTTGTATCCTACACAATGGCTATTATGGGGAAAATTCTGGTGCTGGCACTGGTGGTGGTGGTGGTGGTAACCTCGTTTTAATTTTAGATCACAGAATTATGAAACGATTCTTTCCACACAAACACACACACACACACACACGAAATAAAAAAACCAAAAAAAAGCCGACCACCGACCACCAAACAAGAAAAAAAAAGAAAACCAAGAAAATAGACCTGGACAAAATGATAAATTATTCAAATTATTAATTATAGTAATGATGATGATGATTGTAGCAGTAGGCAGGTAATATTTCGTCGTCGTCGTCGTCGTCGCCAGTAATAATGATCCAAGAAAAAAAAATGACCAGAACAAAAAAAAGTAAAAAAACTTTTTGCGGCTTTTTTTAATGTGAACACACAAAAAAAAACAAAAAACCGCCTATTAAAAAACATTCAGCAGAACCACCATCACCACCCCATTTACCTGTTGTTGTTGTTGTTTTAATATCCGGAAAAAAAATTAGAGTAGAGTGGAGTTAATTTATTCCATGTTACACAGCACAGTAATCAGTATTCATATATAGAAAATTATTTTTATCGTTTAAATGGAGACAGTTTTTTTTTATATTCAATTCACTATCTGTTTCGCCATCTAGTGTCAAACAAAAGCATTAATTTGAAATATTTTTTTTTATTTTCAAGAATTTCAAATTCTCTTCCGATTCTATATATTACCAAAATTTTTTTACTCTTGCAAAACAAAAAAGTTTAAAACGACAACTAAAATGATCAACTATATGTCAATTAATTATAAAAAAAACATCAGATCAGAATATTTTTGAATTCTTTCAGATCGAATCAATCGATCGATTCTTTTTTTCGATTCCATTATTCTTCATAGAAACATATTGACATGGACAATTGATTTGTGTGTCCGATTTACACTCATAAACAATCAAAAAAAAAAAAAAAAACAGTTCAAAAAGGAAAAAGTTTATTATTTTTTTTTCTCAAAATTGATCCACCGAATAAGAATCCGCGAACAATCAAGAGAGAAGGAAAAATAAACATCAGAATAAAAACAAAAAAAAAGTTTGGCATTCCGAGCAAAGAAAAAAAAAAAAAGTTGAGCAAAGTGAAGAATAAATATAAATGACAGCAAAAAAAAAAAATAAATAAATTTGAAACTTGTTAGTTGTTATATATTGAACTTGGCACAGTTTGATTGATCTAATTCAATTTTGTTAATAATGATTCTTTCACACACACACACACACACACGCACTCACAGACAAAAAAAAACGATAAATTTTCACCAGAATTACATACACCAGAATTCAGCACGGTAATATATGTGTGTGTTTGTTATGCAATCATCATGGTATTTCGTTTCGTTTTTTTTTTGTTTCTGAATTTTTCATCCAACAAACAAACAAACAAACAATGATCAAGTCAAAGAATTTGAAAAAGAAAAATACAGCATTGATTTATTTATTCATGTTGTTGTGTTTGTTTGTATTGTATTCAATGGAATTACATTCAATTAAAATCAATCCAAAATGGAATTCAATAGAATTTCATTCATTCATTTATTCATTAACCATTACTATTTGATTGATTGCCAACAATAATGGCAATCAATCGTTTTGTAATCGATAAATTTTAAATCCAATGCATGTTGACAACATGAAATATTTGATTTGATGCTGGATTCAAATTTGTGTGTGTGTGTGTGTGTATGTGAATCATATTCAATTGGCCACCTACCTTAATTCAGCACGTTTTTGATCCTTAAAACGTTCCATAAGTTTATCCCAGGGCCCGTTGCCCAGTCCACGCATTGCCATAGCCATGATGACGATGATGATGATGATGATGATGATGTTCAAAAAACAATTTACGAATAAATGAATTAAAATTTTAAAATTGAACAAAAAAAAACCAAACAGATATGATTGTGACCAGGTAGATATTGATAAGATAATATAGGAAGGCTAGTGTTGAGAAGCAAACACGAACGTACGAATGAACGCACGCACGAACGCCCGCACACACACCCACTGAAACCAAAAAAAAAATCTAAGGCCACATCATGATGATGATGATGATGATGTATTATTCATTCACATGTAATTTATTTTTTATTTTCACCATCCACGACAACAGAAAACAGAGAGAAAAAACCACCAAATGATTGATGAGTTTTAAAATTTTTTTTTATTATTCAATTCATGGATGATTTTTTTTTTGTTGAAACATTTGAAAATGATGGACATCGGGTTGTTATTTACGGTACTGGTAATGATCTTCTTGATAACCGATTTAAATGTTGAAAATTGTATACATTTTCACATACATAAACAAACAAACAGACAAACACACACACACATGAAGAGCATAGAAATTTGTTTGTTTAGTTTTGACTTTGAAAGAAAGAAAGAAAAAAAAACCACTTTATGATCTGTGGGTGGATGATGATGAACTATTCACAATGTGGATGATGATGATGATGATGATGCTAGCTGAATCGTTGGCGGTATATTCAAATCGACAACTACAATGATGTTGATGTTGTTGTTGATGATGATGATTATCCCATTTCATTATTCATTACGGGTAATAATCACCCATTTTTTTTCATTTATTTTTCATTTCAGAATGACATTTACCGAATCAATAACAACGACAATATGGAATCTGTGAATGAAAGAGAGAGAAAAAAAATCAGCATTAGATTCTTTTGTACAACTGGGAAAAAAAATTTTTTTTTTTGTGTTTTCTGCATGGTTTTTTCCTCTTTTTTTTCCACAATGATAATGATGTTGTTGTAGTTATAAAAAAGAATATATTCTCTTTGTGTGTGTGTGTGTGTGTGAAAAAAAGTGGCAAACAACAACAACAACAACAACAAAAAGACAAGTAAATAATTCTTAAGACAATCAGTCAGTCAGTCAGTTTTTTTTCTGTTTGAATGCTTTTCACCTCCCAACTACTACTTCCACCCACCATCCCCTTCTTCTTACCCACATCCCCCGTTTATATTATCATTTTCAAAAGTGTTTGCTTCTCATTTTTTATTTCAAAATAGTGATTTTTTTTTTACTTTACTTTTCTTTTCTTGGCAAACTATCATGATGATGATGATGATGATGATGATTTTTGAATGTGATGATTTGATCATCATCAAAGAATCTATGTGAGCAAATAAGAGAAATTCTGGCATCCTTATTATTTTATTTGAATGCCAGAATAAAACCGAATCGATTTGGTTTTTTTTTTTTTTTAATTTCTCTGTTTAGTGTCTATTTGCTTTTTTATTCATTCGTTTGTTCGTTCGTCATCATTGATGCGTCAACGACGGCTACGGCTACGGCGACTACGACGACGACGACGACGACGACGATGATGATGATGATCGTCTGCATTATTCTAATTCTTTACACACACACACACACACACAAGTTACATTCATTTCATTTTGTTTCGTTTATTTGTTCTTCAAAGTTTTTTGTTTTGTTTTGTTCTATTCATTTAAATTTTTGTCGTTCTATGATGAATAGCAACAACAACAACAACAACAACAACGAATACAAACAAGAATTGTAATGACAAGAATTTGCACCCATCGAATGTCATAAAACGCGACATAAACACATACACACACACACATTGAAATGGATATAGCAAGTGAGAGAGAAAACACTAATGCTACACATTGTCATTATCATTATAATACACTACACACACACACATTTGTTTTTGCTACTTCTATGGCTATGGGCTGATGATTGATTGATTGACATATAGTATATGTTGATGCGGATGACGATGTTGTTGTCATATTCATCATCATCATCATCATCATCATGCCGTAGGCTCATTATTATTCTCTTCATTTCAAGATTATTCTCAGGAAAAAAAAAAAGAAGAAGAGAATGCATAAAGGAAATAAAAATGTGATTTTTACTTTTTTTTCCTTCTTCTTATTCTTTAATTTGTATTGAAAAAGACGGAAAAGATGGGGAAGAATTGAATTTCAATGAAAAATTTTCATTTTAATGATTCTGAAATCAATTATTAAATTGCAATGAAAATCAATTTTTTTTCTCTTCCGCAAATCAACAAAAAAAAAATTCCAGATAGTTGAAAAATGGAAAATCAAATTGGGATTAAGAATTGGGTAATTCTATTATTCTACGGATGCAAAAACTCGTTTTTTGCGGAAAAAAACACACACACACACACACGGACAAATTATTAATAATCCACAATAACCATATGATAATCATAAATATCATCATTGACAACATAACAGTAACAGCAACATTTTTTTTCACATCCAGAATATTTATCCAAAATAAAAAAAAACCACCAAAAAAAAAACCTGAATGGGATCCAACCATATGTCTGTGATGAAATTGGAATGAAAAATCGACGTATAGCCCGGAATAATAATAATAAAAATAAAAATACGATAAGCCCAGAATTTATGATTCCGGTGATCATCATCATCATCATCATTATTGCAATATATCACGATATATATAGAGAGAGAGATAGCTAATATATTTCTGTTGGTTTGTTTGATTATGGAATATATATGTTTGAGAGTGGAAAAAAAACTGGATGAATGAATGAATGATGTGACCACATAAATGTATCTGGTTATTAGAATTTGATGATGACAAATATTCCGTTAATGATGATGATGATGATGATGATATGTGGAAAATTGAAAATTGTATCATCAACACTGATAAATATTTGGGAAGCAAAAAAAAAACAGCAAATATTTGTTTGGTTGAAAATTTTGAATCATTTTTTTTTTTTTTTTGATGAATTTCAAAAAATTCATGAAATACGTAGGCTTGTGAAAAACCCAAGTAAACCAAAATATTAAATGCCAAGGACATTATGATGAATACGATGATGAATGAATGAATGAATGAATCAATGAATGAATGAATGAAGATGCCAGGTGTTCAAAACATTACCTGAAAGTGAATAAGAAATGGATGTTTCAGAATAGAATTATAGATCAAATATCTATCTTTTTTTTTGTTTTCCATCCTACGCTATATATGTCTCAAATCATCAAATTTACATGGTATATGTGGCCATTTTTAGGATTTTCATTTGTCTTTTGACTCGAACAATAACAACAATAATAATAATGTTCGACACTGTATTCTTCTGATGATGCAGAATACAGAATACAGAATAAGAATTTGATTCAATAACACCAGAAAAAAAATAATGGTGGTGGTGGCAACGACAATACATTGATCATTTACTTGGAATTTTTATTCGATTCTATAAAATGTCATGTTTATCAGCGCACACATTGACTCACCCACACTATTAATTAGAAGGAATAAGAAGAAAAAGTTTTTTTTCTGTTTCATCTAAATTTAACAAGAAAAAAAAACAGGACAAAAATAAACTGATTGAGATTCTGATAGATTCTAATTATAGAAACCAGATTATGTTGTTGTTGTCGATGTTTTTTTTTTGTTTTTGTTCAAATGAAACACACATGCACACACACACACACACACACACACTTGGACTTGATTCAAAATTTTTGTTTTGTTTTTCCTTTTCCGGTGAGTTTTTTTTGTGATGTTCACAATTATTAGCATTTAATGACAACAGCCAATTAACCGTTAGGTTCGTTTGGATCATATGAACAAAACATGAGCCATAAACAACTTTGACGACAATGATGAACGGATGTTTCAATAAACAACAACAACAACAACCAAAATGCAATCAGGTTATTTTGTTATTCAGGGTGTTTTGTAATCATCATCATCATCATCATTGTGTTTGTTTCCAAAAAAAAATGATGATGATGTGAAAAGATAATTGAATGATACAAAAAAATAATTGAAAAAACAAACAAAAAAAAACGAAAAACAAACGCTTAGGATCGGCAATGAGAGACAAAAAAAAAATAAAAAAAAATAGGGCTCTGCATTTGACAAACACACGCACACAAATACAATGTGTTTATAGCTCATCATCATAGCAAAAAATGGTGATGGAATCTTTTTTTTTTTGCTTTCTCGCTCCTGGATTTACAATATTGGATGTTTTTTTGTTCATCTTTTTTTTCGTAAAAATAGAATTCCAATTCATTGAATGTATTGATTGGAATCAATACATTGGCAACGGTGGAAAGAATTCCGTTAAAAAAAAAATTCCATTTGCAGTGCAAATGGAAAATGAAAACAAAAAGTGAGAATTATTTGTGAAAAAAAAAAAAAAAAACAAACCTAATGCCATTTTAGCTTGTTCATCATCACCATGATCATCATCATCATGATCATCATCGTACATGACGATGATGAGCGAAACAAGATCATCAGAGACACTAGATACTGAAATACGTGCTTGGATATATTGATGAGATCCATCTTTGTTTATGGAACTTTTTTTTTAAACCAAAAGATTTATATAAAGTCAAACACTGATACCGATGATGAGGATAATAGAGTTGAATGTGAATTGCATAAAATGGAATAAAATGAAATGAAAAACAACAACAACAATTCCAATGGAATTCAGAATGGAAAAATAGAAATGGATTCTTTCATTGAAACAATTAAAAAAATTTTTTTTTGATGAAAATGAACATGTGAGGAAATAAGGAAAAAAATTGAAAAAAATCAATTCATAATGATGATGTCTAATCAAAGAATGAACAGAGAGAAAAAAAACTTGTCATGTTTTTTTTCTCATATTATTAATTAGATTCTTTATTCTTCATTGTTTAAATGTAATTACCGCTTGATTCTGTTCCATTGTCATTATCATCATCATCATCATCATCATCATCACCATCATCATCATCAATCACCAAATTAAATTGATTACATCCAGTCTATAAATGGATTGAAAATGATGGAAATTTAATCATCATCATCATCATCATCATCATCAACAATGAAGTGAAGTGATAATGTTCTGGTGTTTCAGCGTGTGTATGTGTGTGTGTGTGAATGTGTTTCATTTTTTTGTCATGAACACACACACTCAAACAAACATCATCTTCCGGCAATCAAATAAA